AACAACAACAGAGGTACTACTGTTCCAACTTAACAGAATTCACATGCACTTAAACGAGCTAAGAGGGCACAAACTTGCGAGATCAAAGCGATCCATTAATTGGATAGGGTCTGCCTGGAAGTGGGTAGCCGGTTCACCAGATGCCACTGACTGGGATAAGGTCCTCAGCAACGAGAACTCCCTTAATCAAAATAATAACAGACAATACAAGGTAAACAATGCAATTTTCAAGAAAACTAGCGAATTATTGCAGAAGCTAAACACCATTGTGACGATCACAAATGACGTCGTTGAGCGGAGAATCAGGGAAAGGCTCGAACAGGATGTCCAAAACAAAATAACCATTCTGAAAGAAGACGTAAACGAGCTGATACGCGCCTGCCAAATGGCCAAGGCTGGCATCGTCAACAGCAACCTGCTAAGCAAGGAAGAAGTTAACCAGCTTGTTGGCGAGATCGACATCCTTCCATACAGTAATGCCATCGAAGCGATCGAGTATAGTAAACCCTCGATCTACACTAACAACACGCTATTGCTGTATGTTTTATCTCTGCCTAAAGTCACGGAAGAAAGATTCAACCATCTTATCACACGAGCTAATATTCGGAACGGCCATCGGATAGAATTGGCCTACAGAACTATCCTTGTAAGCAAACGGGAGACGTATGGCATAAAGGGAGATTGTTTGCACCTATCGTCTGCAATGGTATGCGAAAAGAAATCCTTGGACTTGCTACCGGAGGCCGGTTGTTTGGCGCGCCTCCTCAAAGGCGGAGAAACAAGTTGCCCTTACGTAACAAGCAACGTATCCACCATCGAAATAATCAAAGAGGATACAATTTTCCTGGACAATTTCGTTGGCACCATAAGTTCAGGTAAAACCACTGCTAATCTTAACGGTTCCTATATTCTCCAGGTAGACAATGAGACGGTAGTAATCAACAACCAGACGTATTCAAGCATTACCACCTCAGGAGTTCAGGTGCTCCCACCAATCCTAACTAGTGTCACGAACCACACCATGGCTTTAAACCTCGATCTGGTACATGGAATGGCAATAGACAACTTGAAAATATTGAAACTCCTTAAGTCTGAAACGAATTGGTTCATGCTATCCGAGGGATCAGGATACTACTACTTATGATTCTAATTTGGTTCATCTGGAGAAAACTCACAGCAAAGATCCACTTACCCGAAATAAAAATTGAAAACCGCCTTGGTCGAAGGATCGAGAACCCCCCTTCGCCATCCAATCTGCGGGACGCAGACATTTAAAGGGGGAGGAGTTAACACGCTGCGGCACCCAAAATATTCCATTCCCACACTCTACTCGTACACGTGCCGCTGCATCAGCATAATTGCAGTCATACCGTATTGCAACCCAACGCCCCAATTCAAGGCCAATGATATTTCACCACATAACCTGTGGGAAACCAAGTTCATGATTAGTACCACGTACTAATGGTTACGCAACAAGAACCATACCAACAGAGCCAGACAGTAGCGTCAGCAAATTATGTTTCACACGATTGTGAAATACTTGCACATGCCCTCAGTGCATGTCAACCGTGGGAAGCCACGGCCTAAGCCAGCGTACCAAATACCGCGCACCTCAAGGCAGCAGAACGACGAGTCTATAAAAGGAAGCAGCACGCATCGAAGAGGCAGTTGCATGGTGGACTACTAACCCGCTTGTTCTATCTTGATAAATTACCTATCAATAAATTATTGTAAATCTAACCTTTCTTGTGTTTTCATTGTAGGGCAAGTTGGCCCTTTAATTTTTTTAGTGTTCAAGGACCCGGGGTCCTTTACTTATATATCGATATTCATACGTAATATAAAAAGCATTCGAAAATTAATGCAATAAAGTACACTACACTTTTGGAAAGAAATTTACAATATAAACTAGAGCTCTAGATACCCGGGTATCGAGCAATGCGAGTAGCTCGATACTCGCTCGAAACTCGTTCATTGCTCAACTGCTCAAATGTTTGTTCAAAATTTTTGGAGTTTTTGAACAATTTCATAAACAAAAGAAAATTTGTAAATTGTATTTGTCAGCAGCTGTTTTCTAATTCATGTTAAATAAATTGTATTAATAAAAACCAATGTAACAATCTTTGCATTATATATCAATAATTTGAAATATTTAAAAAGTTGCTACCAAAAATGTCAATATAATAAAAAAAACATTGCTCAAATTACTCGAAAAAACTCGAATTGCTCGAGCTCATGCTCGAAAATTTTCGAGTAATGAGCATTGAACAAGTGTGCGAGTACTCGCTGCTCATATACCCGGGCTGTTTGAAAATGTGCGAACAAAATCGAGAGCTCTAATATAAACATAACTACGAAAAATAAAGCGAGAACGAAAAGTTCAACAAAAATCTACCAAAATGAGGAAAAATCTACCTTTTTACCAACCCAATTTTTTTCTACCAATTTTGGTAACAATTTACCAAAGTGGCAACCCTGATCGCGAATGAAAAGCAGCGGAAATTTTTTTGTCGATCCATTCCGAATGTGAGAGATGAAAAATTTGTCGCGATAAAAGAATGCAAAAATTGATTTGGAATATTATCGATCGCGAACGTGAGAGAATGTGAGTGAGAATTTCCGAACCCTGTATGTTGGCCTTTGGCTACAGCGGCCAACAACACATACCGGTTAGAAAAAAACAAACCGGCACGCGCAATCTCAACGCTTTTATTTAGGTATGGCACTCAGTATGGCAATCACGCCATACATATGTAAAGGCTGCATTCCAAAACGTCAAAATACAAAGCATCAGTCTCTTTTATTTCTAAACCTCAGTAGATTGTAATTCCAAATGTGCGAAACCTAGGTTAGCTGCTAGTTTAAAACTAGGTTGCGCAAGTTAGACTTTTTCTTCTAGTGCAGTTTAGAAATAAAACAGACTGATGCTTTGTATTTGGGAACCAGCATTAACACCGATAATAATGTCAGCATTGAAATCCAACGCAGAATCACTCTTGCCAACAAGTGCTACTTTGGACTGAGTAGGCAATTCAGGAGTAAAGTCCTCTCTCGACCTACGAAAACCACGCTCTATAAGTCACTCATCATGCCCGTGCTGGTATATGGCACGATGTAGGGAGACAGAGGTGGCGCAATCAGCAGTACCGCTACTTTGTTCTTGGTGAATTTGACAGAATCAGCTATTCGTGTGACGTCATTTTAGCAAACTGTTTGTATGTATGCAGAGATGTTTATATGTATGTAAATATGGCGACCTCCATGGTTTGACAGTTAACACTCTTTCTCTCAGGAATGCGCAATCTTGTATTCTATCATTCTTGGGTATATGGCGCAGAAGCATAGACAATAACAACTCCGATGAGGCGGCTCTTGGAGTGTTTGGGAGAAAGATTTTGTGGAAGATTTACGGGCCTTTACGCGTTGGCGACGGTGAGTACCGCAGACGATGGAACGATGAGCTGTATGAGCTTTACAACGATATGGACATAGTGCAGCGAATTAAAATGCAGCGGCTCCGCTGGCTTGGCCATGTAGTTCGAATGGACACCGACGCTCCAGCTCTGAAAGTATTCAACTCGGAACCCGCTGGTGGTAGCAGAGGAAGAGAGAGGCCCCCACTGCAATGGAAAGATCAGGTGGAGAAGGACTTGGCTTCACTTGGCGTTTCCAGTTGGCGTTCGCACAGAGGAGAAACGACTGGCGTGTTTTGCTGAACTCGACCAAAATCGCTTAGGTATGGTGCACCCATACTTGAAAATAGATAATTGCGTCTGGGTCAAGCTGTTTATAGAACTTTTCTTTTTGTGTGCAACTCAAACCGACCTCCGTGCTTATTCATACCAAAATTAATTTCGCGGAACCCCGGTGACTTTCCTACGGAACTCTTGGGTTCCTCGGAACACACTTTAAGAAGCTCTGATCTAGAAGTCATGCCAATGTCATCTGAAGGTCAAATTCAGAAGAATGACCTCAAACCTGACGTGGTGGAGGCTAACAGACCTCGGATTCGCATTCAGAGCGTCGAATAAAATAGGGATATAGAGGTTTGGTTGAATATGCAGAAACTTTTTTTTTTGTAAACCTGTTTTATTATGCTCCAATTTTTAATTTGCGTTCAAAAAATAATACTTAATCCTGAGTTTTTTTACTTATTTATTTAAAAGAGAACTAATTATAAATAGCTAATCCACTTGTAAGATTAAGCACTGGCTACCAGGGCCTTCGGCTCACCATGAGTTTTATTTTTAGTTTACAAAATAATTGCTATCTGATGAG